GATGTCCTCCCCTATATTTTGTTTCATATGAGACAGGGAGACCTGACGATATCTAAGTACATGTTGCTAATCAAGACAGAGGGTAGGGAACATGAGTTGCTCTTGCCCAGACTAAAAGCTTTCTAAAGACCCAAGCAGCAGCAAAGTGGCCTCTTACTCAGTTTTAGGAATAATGAGAGTATTTCTAAAAGCAAAAGTCGCCGGGCTCGGTGGCTCAGCCTGTAATCCCGTGCCTTGAGAGGCTGAGGTGAGTGGACTGCCTGAGCCCGTGGGTCCAAGACCCGCCTGGGCAACTTCGCGAGACCTCATCTCTACACTAAATCAAAACATTAGCCGGGTGTGGTAGCGCGTGCCTGTAGTTCCAGCTACTTGGAAGGCTGAGGTGGAAGGATCTCTGGAGCCCAGCAGGTTGAGGCTGTGGTGGCCGGGAGTGGCCACTGTACTCCAGTCTGGGTGACAGAGTGAGACTCCAACTCAAAAAAATAAAAATAAAAAGCAAAAGTTGCTTTAATGTGAAGCACTTAATATAGTTTTTTTAATACATGGCATCTCTGCAAGTAGATCAAACATGTACAAGTTAGTAAAGAAAAATGAATAGACCTCTGAATTATATACAATGATTTATTTTCCATGTTTTAAAAAGCTTAATTTTTGTAAAATTTACCCAATTTCAATTTGAGTGTCACTTATTTAGAAAACAAAACAACTATGTCACTCCACACATAGAGCAATCTACTGTAAGCTGAATGGGCTTTTATTAGCAGTCTCAGGTTGTGTCATCAGGTCACTACGAATTTGTATAGCACATCTCTTCTCTCAAGTTTTGATGTTAGGAGCTCCCTCCGAGTCTCAGGTTACAGGATGAACAGCAAGAGTTTAAAGAGAAGATAATACAATTCTTCCAGGTTCCAGAACCAAGCAAATCAATGACTTATTTACATTTCTGGTTCCTGGGCAAAGGGGGATTAGGCTCTGACATGAAAATAATAATGTCAGTGTACTACAGTTATAAAATTTCATCCTATGCCAAAACTAGGCTATTCAAGTTCAGCAAAAAGACAATACACTTGGAGTAAGATGACTGTCCAATTGCAGGCTTCATCTGTGCAGTGTCCTTATGTGTGTTTTTAGTCAATGCATCTGTAATACTGTGGCACCTACAGAGATGTCACTCACATAAACATTACTGAATGAAGGAATGTATAAGTGAATCTTTCTAACTTGTTGTGTGACACTGCACATGTGATCATGATTTTCCTAAAAATCTACAGAATGAGGACAAATGTTTCTGATGTTTTTTAAAAACAGTGGAGGCTACATTTTTTATGATAATGTATCATGCTGTTTCTTACATAAGAAAGGACAGCAATGCTACAGTTATTAAGCTGTTATCTTACTTAACAAAATCATTCCCGGGTTTGAAAAAGCTTCCCAAATCCAGAAAAGTTTCCTTTATTGCTCTCTCTTCCCGGGTTTGAAAAAGCTTCCCAAATCCAGAAAAGTTTCCTTTATTGCTCTCTCTCTCTATATATAAATATATATGTCTGTGTCTTTTTTTTTTTTTTTGAGTTGAGCGGCTCATTCTGTTGCCCAGGCTACAGTACAGTAACACACTCATGGTTCACTGTAGCCTCGGCCTCCTGGGCTCAGGCAATCCTTCCTCAGCCTCCCGAGTAGCTGGGACTATAGACGTGTAATACCATGCCCAGCTAATTTTTTGATTTTTTTGTAGAGACGAGGTCTAGTTACATCATCCAGGCTGGTCTTGAACTCCTGGGCTCAAGCCATCCTCCCACTTTGGTCTCCCAAAGAGATGGGATTGCAGACATGACTCACGGCACCTGGCTCCTTATGTTAATTAATTAGTTAATTAATTAATTAAAATAGTATAGACATTTTTAGTTCTCTATGACATTTTGTATAAATTATTTCATTTTAGGTGATGCATATAATTGTTTAAAATAACACTACAAAACAAGTGTTTCCATTGGGCTGGTAATGGTTATCAAAACCAAGTTCCACTGGAGCCAAGGCTCAGCAATGCAGAAGTGGCAAGAAAATGAAAGCAGAGAGACAAGAAAAAAAAGGGGGGAAGCTGGCAAAGAAAGAACATACGTATGTTCTATCACAAACACAGTGGTAGAGAGTGGCAAGCAGTAAGGGAATCTGGAGGGGCAGTCACTGACAGGGGAGAAATGATGGGGAGATCTGGAAAAGAGAACAAATAAGAACTGACTGTGCTAGTACAGCTTGTAGAGATGTGGAGGCCAATAGGCTTATGTGCCTCAGTGGTTCCTGCATGCATGAAAGCTGCTACTCAATAGTTATTAGGAAATTATGTTCTGTATTCTCTGTTCACAGAAGGAAGAAGCACCAAAAAACTTCAAAAACAATTCCATCCCAGTATTTTGGGAGGCTGAGGCGGGAGAATCTCTTGAGCCCAGGAATTCGAGACCAGCCTGGCAATATAATGAGACCTCATCTCTACAAAAAAAAAAAAAAAAGAAAGAAAAGCCGGGAATGGAGGCACATGCCTGTAGCCCCAGCTATTCAGGAGACTGAAGAGGAAGGAGTGCCTGATCAGGACCAGGAGGTCAAAGCTGTGGTGAGCTGGAATCACACTACTGTAGTCTGGCCTGGGTGACAGAGTGAGAGCCTGTCTCAAAAAACAGAACAAAACAAGGAAACAAAAACTAGCCAAGTGTGATAGCAGATAGTCCCCTAAAAGACCAAGAACATCATCTGATTATTCATTGTACTCTCAGCACCAGACAAAGGGAAAATTCCATAAAATCTTACTGAAAGCACAAAAGCAAAAAAAAAGTGTTTGGATTTAAAAGTTATATGCTTAAATGTAAAATTAAGAAAAAATTTTAGAATCTAATATTTTAAAAATAACAATGATAAATTTGCACTTATAAGTAAACCCACTATTACCTGGATATTTTACTTAGCCCCAACTCTCACTTTTAAGGCATTAAGAAAATATTAAGCATTAGAGATTTTCAGCTCTGAAACCTTAAAAACTCTTTGTGACAGGATTAGGCAAACTTCATTAAACTATACTTCTCAGAATAGAGAAGGGAGCAAGTACTCAGAAAGTAGATGTTTAACAAGCTGTTTAACATTATCACAGGAAAGTAAATTAGTTTTGTTAATCATATACATGTACCTTTTAAGGCTCTCAAAATAGCTTAACTTAATAAACAAATAGAATCTTAGGAAAGAGGACCATTATGTATTAACTTCACAGAAAAGACAACTTTAAACTATAAATACATATAATTTCCACTGACACCTATTATCCAATAGGAAAATTGACATTGTGTTATGAGCTTGCGGAGGGAACAATCCATTTAGTTGCAATATACAACGTTGATTCAACAGTAAATCCCCCACCTTAAAATGTTCTACAAGCTAGGGAGACACAACAGGAGTATTCTGATCCTTCTTCACAATTTATACCTAAAAAGGGTAAAACTAAATCATATGGCTTTTCTCTATAAGGTCAATTTGATTATTAGTGTGAAAAGAAGCAGTCAGATAAAGGTAATCTTTTGGTATTACAGATGGATTTTAAGATAGATGTAACTTTTGTTTTGTTAACTCCCTGTACCACAGATCTGATTAAAATAAAAGAATGAATACTGAGTCAAGTGCTTTACTATTAGCTCTATTTAATTTTTTCTTTTTTTACTATTTTAAACATTGTAGTAGAATATATATAATATAGTCATTTTAACCATTCGTAAGCGTACAATTCAGTGGAATCAATTACAATCAAAATGTGTATCATCACCACTATTTCCAAAACTTTTCATCATCCAAACAGAAACTTTGTACCCATTAAACCATAATAATTTTGTTTAAAAAAAAAAAAAAGAAAGAAGAAAAATCACAGTTTGTTGATAATTAACTATAAACGGCAATCAAGTGTTCTGGTTAAAATAAACAAAAGAATGAATAGTAGAGCTAAGTGCTTTACTAGTCCATGTAATTTTGTCAAAAAAAAAATTAAGAAGAAAAATGATAGTTTATGGGGAATTGACTATAAATGGCCATAAAGGAAGCTAGTGATAAAACAGTTATAATTATCTTAGAAAGCTTTTCACATATATTTTATCATCTACTTTGGTTCTGTTGCTTTTCCATTTCACCCCTGAAGTTATTTTTTCTTTCAGTGATAATGCTGAGTTAGAATACAGTGGGTATAAATGGAAGGTAAAAGTTAACTTGGGGGAAAATTAAGGTTTAAAAAAACCCCAAAATCAGTAACCTAATTTTTAGAGAAGGAAACAGGCTTAGAGAGGCAAAAAAGTAGCAACTGCACCTTCTACCATACCAGGCCACCTTAGTGAAGGGCTATAGTTTTGGTATAGCTTTTATCTTTTCTTTTTCCAAACTTTGTATTATATTGTCAAACAAAATAGAATGGCTATCTTTCCTTGACTTTCTTTTTTTAACAACTTAATAGCTTATCAATTTATCCAGTACCTCCTACTCTTAGATTTTAAAATGTTTACCCATTCTGTTAGATTGTTTTAAATAATTTAAAAAATATATTAACAATAGATAAAGTGAGGTACATGCTATAATTTATCTTCTAGATGTATGAGAAGAAAAATGATATTTCCTTATTATAATGTGAATAATTTTGTCTTGATCATAATTTCTGGGACAGTCAAATAAAATTTATGACTACAAAAATGGTTACATAACAATGCTTACTGTATCTGGAGGCATTCAGTATAACTTCTTGAAGTATAAGCATTATAATGACTAAAAGTCATTTTATTCAATACACGTAAAATTTAAAACTACTAATAAAAAAGTTTATATTAACTAAAATTTTCCCTAATGTTTGAGACAAGGGAAAACTTATAAAAACAAGGCAATATTTACTATACACACACACACACACACACACACACACACACACACACACACACATATTTTTAAAATGTCATTTTACTTTTAATTGTACTTCATTTCTAATTTACCTCTGAAATCTCTATCCTTTTGGCAAGATCATCAAGAGAAAGACAGCTATCATCAGAAGGCAGATTCTCCTGTAAACTATAGGATGCTTCTTCAGGAGAAAGATCTTGAAGTAGGTCAGAGTCTTCTTCTTGGATATCTTCATATGAAAGGGAATCTTCAGTATCTTTAAAGCATCCTTCTAAAAGGCTGTTCAAATAGTCTTCTGTTTCTTTACTGAGTTGGTCATCCTTATCTCCCTTTTCCTCTGGGGCCATATACAACTCTGGAAGCTGTGTACTTAAGTCAGATGTTTTATTATTTTCACAAAGTACATTCTCAGAGTTCTCTGAGTCAGCCTGACCCTGTGGTGATTTTCCATCACTGTCTGCAAGATCAGGTTGCTGCAGTTCAGTTAATTCATTGTTTTCAAGTTGGTCTGCAGGCAACGCCTTAGAAGCATCCTGAAGTGGCAAATGGAGTTCTTTTCTTTGAGCCTGTGAATATTTGCCCTCAAAAATCAACACAGGTGCTACATGGTCACAGCCTGGTAAAACCAATGGCTCTATCATTGACTCGCTGGAAGGTGACACCTTAGGGTCTTCAGCAATGTCCTCTATTTTGGTCACATCCAGGCAGGTCTCTGTTGAAGCTGGCTGCAAGCGGCTGCCATCCTCACAAGCATCCTCAGAAAAGTCTGGCCCAGACCTGCTCTCAGCCGTCTCCAAGGACTGGGTGTGGAGCTCCAGCGCAGCTTCGGGGCTGCAGAGCAGCGCCTCCATGTGGGTCTTTCCGGTAGTTACCAGAAGGCTTGGGGGATCCGCCTGCCTGTTCATCTGTTTACAGCAGGGACTGCTTTCCAGGGGCTCTTCTTTATGCTGGCTTTCTTCACTTGGTTCTGTGCCAAGACAAGTTTTACTCTCTAAAAGACAAAGAAAAATAAAATGTTTAACATCCAAAACAACACTTTTATAGGAGGAAAGAGAAAGGACGTATGAATAATATGTGTAACACAAGAATATTCTAACCCTCTCAAATGGAAATTCTAATGGAAAAATGGTCATTCTATCTGTCACAGAACAGTGTCTGTATGCAGAGGAAATACCCAAAACAGTTAGCAAATAATCCTTTACATATAACAGAGATTATTCAAAAGCATGTCAATATGAATAATATAGTCCTCATTATATAAATCATTTTTCAAAGGTTTAAAAAATATTCCTTATTGTTCTTTTACATTTGATTATTTATTTACTTATTTAATTTTAAAGATGTGAGGTAGGTCTTTTACATTTAAATGAAACTAGAAGAATTATTTTCAGTATATTTAAAACGAATATAAAGCAAATATTTTTACATGATAAGCTTTGGGTAATAATATATTTATCATTTAAAGTGTAAGAAAAGTATTATTGGTCTGGTCTACTAAGACTACAGGAACAAAAGTTTGTTCTCTTCAAATTTATAACTCGAACATAATTCCCTGAAATGTGTTTGCAAATTACCCTCAAATTTTTTTTTTTTTGAGTTGGAGTCTCACTCTGTCACCCAGGCTAGATGGAATGCAGTGGCACACTCACGGCCACTGCAGCCTTGACCTGCTGAACTCAGGTGATCCTTCCGCCTCAGCCTTGCAAGTAGCTGGAACTACAGGCAAGTGCCACTGCACCTGGCTAATTTTTTGATTTATTGTAGAGATGAGGTCTCACTAAGTTGCCCAGGCTGGTCTCAAACCCATGGGCTCAGGCAATCCTTTCACCTTGGCCTCCCAAAGTGCTGGGATGTAATAGGCATGAGCCACCACACCCGGCCTACTCTCAAGTTCTTAAAGGGAGGCAGCTAAAGATAGCAATAAAAAGAGTAAGTTTTTGCAAACAAGTAGAAACAGGTTTGAATTGTGACATCTCTTTTAGCTTCTACTTTAAACAAAATCAACTTAAAATATTTTTTTTTTTGTTTTAAAACTAAACAGTAAAAACCTCTATGTAAATAATGAATGAGAATTACACAGATCAACAGATAACAGAGAAGCTTGCTCACCCTTGGCTGACTGGTACATTTATCATTCTTAACTATTTTAGAAGTTTTAACTTTTTTATAGTCATATATTGTTTAACTTATATAAATAATAAGACAAGGGTGAAAATAAAAGATAAGATAGGATGACAATTTTATTCCATCTGGTTTTTCATCGATTAGTACTTTAGTAATTAAACTGAGGCTGGGTACAGTGGCTCACATCTATAATCCCAGCACTTTGGGAGGTTAAGGTGGGAGGACTACTTGTGCCCAGGATTTTGAGACCAGCCTAGGCAACACAGTGAGACCTCATATGTACAAAAAGTAAAAAAAAAAAAATAGCTAGATATGGTGGCGTGTGCCTGTAGTCCCACCTACTTGGGAGGTAGAGGGGAAGGATCGCCTAAGCCTAGGAGGCTAAGGCTGCAGCGAACCATGATTGTGTCACTGTACCCCAGTATGGGAGACAGAGTAATACCAAACCAAAGAAAAAGCATTACTTAAATGCTGTCTTCAGATTTCAGAGAATCTGGGACTGAGGTTAGCCACCTGAACTCTGTATTGCTGAGAGGCAGCTGTTCAGTAGAGTATGTAGTACCTTCCTTCCCTGACACCCTGACTCAAATATCAGATAGAGGAGCAGAAAGAAGAGGCCACCTTTGGGACAGTAAATAATTCCTTCTCCCCCAACCCTATCCAAAGAATCACTCAAAAGTTTGGGAGACTACAAAAAAAACCTCAAACACCTTTTACTCCCCAGGTTGCCTGCTTTGCCACTGAGCTGCTGGTCTGTCCCTAAGTTAAGATGGAGAAGGTCAGCAATGTGGGTCACATCCTGGTGGGAAGGGGGCCAAAACACTCATCCACAAGTTCCAGGTACCCAAAGGTTCAGAAGATGGCCCTCAAAACATGTCCACAGGATTTGGAGACTAAAAGAAATTGGAGGGGGGCACACATTTCCATAGATACCATTAAAGCACAAGGCAGAGAGACCCCCACTACAGGGGAAGGGGATGTGTTGCTCCTAGCTGAGGGTCAGTTACCTAAAGTACTGCAGATATCTAGGGGAGCCCCTTGAGAGGAAGCTCCTCTTCAGTTGGTCTTGTTGAAGCCACCACACATCCCCCACAGAACAACCTAGGCTCAGTCACAGGCACAAATTCAGCGAACTCCAACTGTGAACAGACTATGCTTCCAGTCTCTGGCAACTGGAGGGCAGAGAAGAGCTTTAAATACAATGAAATTTAAGTATTAAAATGATGTTTGGAATAGTACAGGACAAAGTACTAAAGAATCAAAATGAGACTATTTAATAGATAGAAGTGACTGAGAAGTTATAGAATCAGTCTGAGAGGTCATTACATGAGAGAGAAGTAAGCTAGCTGACTGCAGTTACTAGACAAAAATCCAACCATTTAAAGTACTATAGCTAATGAACTGAAATACCACTTAAGTGATGAAAACTAAAGACCACTCCTAGGTACACTGTATTATTTACAAAATAGCCTGAAAATGGTTGTTTCATCCCACTTCTTAGAAACAATAAAAAATTATGAAAAAAAAAACACCTTTATTTAAGATGCAAAAGGTAAGAGTTTCAAACTACATTTGGAGAGTCACTCACAGTGTTGACATTTCTCTTTAAAGCATATTATTTTATCAGACTTTGGCAAGATTTCTTTTCCAAGAATTAAGTGCATACTTCCTCATAGTATGGTTATTAGTGGGATATCTGGATTGTTGAAGCCTTTGATAAGTCACACAATTACTTGGCAGAAGTTAAGTAGAAGCTGCATTCAATTAGAAACCATAAGACCCAGTTTCTAGTTATGAATCAAAGCACCAAGCAAGTGACTTAAACTTGGTGCCTCAGTTTCCCCATCTGTACCACATTTCCCAAAGCAGAGGCCAAGCTAGTGCTGAGCAGCATCCAGTGCTAAGTCTCAAATTCAAACAAACAGACCATAATAGCATTTCTCCCATTGAGCTCAATATGGAGACACACCCACATTCAAACTAGGTGGCTATTTTATGATTTTTTTCCCTTTTAAGATTGTTATGAAGCTCCTTTTACTGATTTCTGATATAAAAATGATGGAAAAAGAAGAGATGGGAAGAATAAAGTATAGTAGGACTGACCCAAAGTAATATCCTCAATTTCCCTAGGAAGAGAAAAGGAGATAAAGTGAGATTTGAAAAAGTAGAAAAGTACTGTGAAGACTAAAAGGCTAATTAAATCGACAGCATCATTATCACTTCTTATATCTTCGTGGCAACTCACCCACAACAACTAATACTTGCTCTTCACATCAGGGCTCTCAGGCCCAGGAACATAAAGCCCAAGAATGCAAATTAGTAATAAAAACCAGATATCTGGTAAACAAAACAAGACAAAAAAGAAAAAGAATCCCTAAAACAGATATATCTTTATTTTCTAAAGTTTTTATAATGAACAACAAGAATTTTCCCAAACGTTTAGAAAACATTTAGTAAAAAAGTTTCTAAAAATCTTTTGGAAGCTGGGCGCAGTGGCTCAAGTCTGTAATCCCAGCACTTTGGGAGGCCAAGGTGAGGGGACTGCCTGAGTCCACAGGTTTGAGAACAGCCTGGGCAACTTGGCAAGACCTCATCTCTACAACAAATAAAAAAAGTAGCCAGGCATGGTAGTGCACGTCTGTAGTTCCAGCTACTTGGAAGGCTGAGGTGGAAGGATCACCTGACCCCAGCAGGTTGAGCTGGGGTGGCCGTGAGTGTGCCACTGCACTCCAGTCTGGGCGATGGAGTGAGATTCCAACTCAAAAAACAAACAAACAAAAAAAACAACTTTTGGCATAAGGCACAAGGTAGTATAAAATACATAATAAATGCTTTTGAAATGTATATACACAAACTAAAATACATCGTATGTTAGTGGACAAAAGGGGAAAAAATAAATTGCTATAAATTATTAAGAGACAGAACTTTAAATATCTAGATTTAGAGAACAAATTTCTGGCAAAGTTCATACAGTAATTATTGATTTTTAAACAGAAAAAAATGTCTGAATGCACCAAAACCAATTCTGCTTCAGAACGTTTCTGTACAATCTTTTCTTATTCTTTCAGATACATATAGCAGCTTATGAAGACATGATAATTTTATGTTTTTATAAGAACCTAGATTTATAGTATCTAGTACTAGATGTCTAAAAGATAGAGCTACACAACATAAAAAATCTTGTTTTCTATTTTTCTGGTAGAGGTATATGTAAGAAAATATAAATGAAAAAAAAAATCCTTCACAGCAATTCAGATGTAACATTTGTAAAATATCATAGGCACATATCTTTTACATTCCTCCCTAACTTAATTTAAAAACATACCTGACTCTTTGGTGGTAGTTCCTCTCTCCTTTGGATCTTCAGACACAATTAACTGGATAAAGCATTTCCTTTCCAGGGACTTTTCTTCAGCTACTATCTAAAAAGTTAAAAAACAAACAACTTTTTGGGAAACTATGCATTAAACTAGAAAGCTGAGAATAACTTCAGAAAGGTTTATTTTCTAAAACAATCCATAAAACAGACATAGGACACTAACATTTTTCCTATAAACATTTAGAAAAAAACTCCTTCTTACCTTATGTTTGGATAAAAGAGGACTGTAGAAAAAAAGAGAGAAAAACAATTTTAAAAAATTATAGGAGCAATAGGCTTCCAAACAAATGTCATTGAAATGGCTGTAAAAAAAAAATACAGCTTCTCTGGAGTCTAATATTAGCACAGAACATTTCCACAGCTGAAACATTACCACTAGCTTAGATAGTTCAAAGTGCAGCTATATCATGTGTTAATATACTTAGTCAATTACTATTGAAAACTCTCAGAGAAGTTACACACGCTGAAATACTGAAGAAAAAAAAAGAATGTTAACCTTTTGCTAATAATATAAAGATAATTTCACATATATAGATTTTTTAAATTTCACTTTGTCATTTCAGTCCAAAATACATAATGGTGGGAGATAATTTTGTTGAAATTATCCATGAAAACAGGTAATAAATAAGTAACTTTTGAATGTTAAATTTTAAGTAATATCAAGATAACAGAATGCATATATCGATCAAAGGCATACACCAAAATGTTCATGGCTACTTTATTTACACTTTGAGAGGCTGAGGCGAGAGGAGTGCTTGAGCCCAGGAGTTAGAAACCAGCCTGGGCAATATAGTGAAAACTCTTCTATACAAAAAAAAAATTAGCCAGGAGTAGTGGTGCATGACTGCAGTCCCAGCTACTCAGGAGGCTGAGGCAGAAGGATCACCTAAGCCCAGGAAGTTGAGGCTGTGGTGAGCCATGCTCGTACCACTGCATTCCAGCCTGGGTGACAGAGAGACATTGACTCAAAAAAATACACCCCTCCCCCATCTACATTCTGTGTGATTCCATTTATATGAAGTTACAGGATAGACAAGTATATTGTTATAAGGCTCAGACAGTGGTTACCACGGGGGCTGGGTATAGACTTGGTATGGGCCTGAGGAAGCATTCTGAAGGGATGGAACACTTGACTGACTCTTTCTCAGAGCAGTGGTCACATAGACATATATGGATATGTAAAAATTAATCAAGCTTATAGACATTCTGTGTACTCAGTTATAGTTTTAAATGTTGAAAAATTTAAGAGTTATAATTTGGGGAGGGAGGAAATTATCCAAATTTTAAAGCACAAAGATATCATGTTCATGTTATACTCAATAAATATTTGTATAACTCTACTCCAACTCATTCTAATCAAATTCTGAGATACTTACTCTTGATGTGTTGTGCAAATTTTAGTAAGCCGTTCAAAATCTTCACCATTAAATCCTTTTTCTGAATTCCTTAGAGAAGTAACTGCATATGGTTGTACAGTTTTCCATTTTGTTTCTAAATGTAAAATATTTATTAGTCACTGGTTCTTACAAAACATATTTAGGAGAGGAAAAAAGTTAATTGGCACCACTGATAAAGATTGGCATGCAAAATTATCTTTTCAAACAAACCAAAAATTAACACAGTTAAAAATAGCTAAGTGATTACTTTTCAGTATAAGGAAATATCATCCCAGAGACTAAATTAGCCAGTAGGACATGAAATGTGATCAGAAGAAATGCAAATAGTTGTAAGTGTTCTTTTCTTGGCATTCATATGAACAATAAAACACAAAGAAAAACATTTCATCACAATGTAATAGACTGTAGTAAAAAAGCTACTTTTATGCAATATTAACTTGATTTAAAAATACATATTTTCTGAATTATAAAACAGTCAAATATGTTAATTTTCTAAATAGCAACTTAGATTACTGGTAATTCCATGTTCTATGTTAGTCTGTACTCACCCCACTGTTCTTGAATGGCAGAAAGGTTTGCAAGCAATTGCTCGTGATACAATCGTTCAAGTTGAATGAATTTCATTGCTTTCTCATCTGAATAAAAAATTTGAGGAAAACAGAAATCCACACTAATTACAGTAATCCCCATATTTGAAGAGGAATGTCCTAAAAAAGTTGAAAAATTGCAGCTTATCAAAAAATGAGAGGATTCTAAATATTTTTAAATTTAAATATATCTAAAGTAATGTCTTCTAAAGGTTTTGAAGTAGGTACATTTTAATGTAACATATTATGCAGTAGCTACTTGGGTCCATACTTTCTGAAAACAGTAGACACTCAAGGAAGGTTTTAATGCTCAAGAAATATCTGCTTGCTAATATATTTCTAGCAGAGTCAATTAAAAGTAATTTAAGCCAGGCACAGTGGCTCATGCCTGTAATCCCAGCGCTTCGGGAGGCCAAGGTGAGCAGACTGCTTGAACCCAGGAGTTGGACAACATAGTGAAACCATGTCTCTACAAAAAAATAAACAATAATTAGCTGGGTGTGGTGGGGCGCACCTGTAGTCCCAGCTATGCAGGATGCTGAGATGGAAGGATCCCCTAAGCCCAGGAGGTCGAGGCTGTTGTGAGCCATGATCATCATGATCATGTCACTGTATCCCAGCCTGGATGACAGAGTGAGACCCTGACTCAAAAAAAAGAAGAAAAAAAATAATTTAAGGAAATAGGATCTACATGGGAATCCTGGAATCTAAATGCTTCCCTTTTTAATTTTTCTCTTTACCTTTTGTCAGTCAACTATGTGACTCTCAGATCAAGTTTTTTTCTGTCTCAACTCACCTTGTTCCTTTATTATTTCCCACTCAATGCTTTTCTCCCACCAGGCCAAAGGATCACATGCTTAAACAATGACAGAGCCAAAAATTATATGGATCTTTTGTAAAAGATCCACTCGCTACAATGATGGTCATAATTATCACATGATTCCACTTTTCTGTAGATCTTCCTGTGAACTTTTGCCTCCTCATTTCTGTTACACATTATCTGCATTTTATAAGGTCGAGATATAATGTCTAAATGCCTAATTTCCTCTGGGCAGTGTTCTAAATGTTGACTCGAAAAAAAACTGTTTAGTTTTTTGTCCTTCTTATGATCACTCAGAGGTTCAGTTCTCCCTCTTGTTTGCAGTCTTTAAAAAATCCCAAGGATCACACATTAGTCCAAGGAGAAGCAGGAACAATTCCTTTTATTCCTCTGTCTATGACTTAAGTATACCAGTGTTTCCTCAAACTTTATTGAATATACAAATTATCTGAAAAACTTGTTAAAATATAGATTCATAGGTCTGATTTCCAGAAATTCATGAATTTGCATTTCTAAGAAGCTCCTACAAATGCTGATGCTGCTGTCTACACTGCACTACATCATATCCTCATTATCTGGTTAAAAAAAGAAAGAATTCGGCTAGGTGCAGTGGCTCATGCTTGCAATCTTGGCATTTTGGGAGGCTGAGGTGGGAGGATCACTTGAAGCCAGGAGTTTGAGACCAGCCTGGGAAACAAAGCAAAGCCCTGTCTCTACAAAAAATAAAGAAAAACTAGTTGGGTGTAGTGGTGCACGTGTATAGTTCCAGGTACTAGGGAGGCTGAGGCAGGAGGCTTGCTTGAGCTCTCCTTCAAGGCTATGGTGAGCCATGATTGTGTCACTGCACTCTAGCCTGGGTGACAGTGAAACCCTGTTGAGAGAGAGAGGGAGAGAGGGAGAGAGGGAGAGAGGGAGGGAGGGGGGTTGATTCTATCTTCATTTCCATCAGAATTGGATTTCCAACATATTTAGCAAAAAACTGCCACTGTCTGAAGCTGTTTGGGTGACAGGGTTCATGATGGTAACTGCTTATCCTTGATCTAGTCTGAAATGTGATGAAAGCCAACAAAGTTAGGGGGAAAAGCAAATGACACTGATGGGAAAAAAAGATGCCTATGATACATTCTTTTTAGAGAATATAGAGGGTGCCAAAAAAGTATATACATTTTAAGTATGATTTTCACTCAAAAGATTAAGTATGGCACTAATCAAATGAATGCTAGTGACACCATGCAACAGGCAGGACAGTCAAAGAAAATGGCAAAAGCATGGTTGAGTAAACATCATACTACACATTGCTACCGTAATTGAATTCAACTTTAAAAGGTAATACACAGATAACATCTCTTAAAATACATATACTTTTTTGTCACCCCCAGTATATTAGGATATCTCTCCAAAAGAAAAGCAGTTTTGAAAAAGGAGAACAGAAAACAATCAAGAAGAAAACAATCAAGAAGAAAAAGTTAACATGTGGTCTCACTTGACAACATGTATTGTTTATTACTAGTAAAGAGTTAATCTTCCCTTTCCAACTATGTAGCTATATTAAGACAGTCATGAAAGGTACTATGTGTAATACACCTGACATGCTCACTATATGAATATTACTTGATTTGTATGACTTTAGTCTAAAAGGAAAAAAATCTGACAGGTTTTTAGATTTTATTTTTCAGCAGCATGTGTTTTTTTTTTCCTCTTCCTGAAAATGAATATTTAATTGCGGTAAAATTAAGGATTATTTATGAAGGTCAAACTTAGGTGATTCCAGGGAATTTCCTGCAGTGATAGAAATTTTCTATGCCTTGCTTACTGAGGTGGTTACATGGTATATACAACTGTCAAAATCCATTGCAACTATATGATCTATACATTTTATTGCATGTAAAGTATACCTCAACTAAAAAAAAAAATGAACAAAACAGTTCTGTAAGAGTTCTATGAACTTCTTCCTGTAATTAAGAAAAGGATACAGTCCTCCTCCTGGAAATAAGATTCTGCTATCTGTTAAAAACAAAAAAACAAAATAATAACAACAGAAAAAACAGAGAAAATTAAATTAACATTTGGATGAAAAGACAAATTTGGAACAAATTAAGATCTTGAAACCCCAAATGTCTCTGATATCAAACTAAGAAAACTCTTGTATAACTACACTCACCAATTCAGGAGAAAATTGAATATAGACATAAGACTCAATTCTGAAGTCACTCATCTCAAGCAAAGCAAACAGATATACTTTGGTTTTTGCACAACCTCATTCTTTCTATTCTACTTCAAATCAAAGCAAACTTCCCTGATTCATTAGAGCTTAGAAAAACTCTAAAGAATTAGAAAAATACTACAGAGCTTTATAAAAATACAACACAAAAGAAAAAAATGTTTATTATAAATTAAAAGGTAGAAATATGTCATGTCATGTGAAACCTTAACACTCCATTCATTTTGCTTGTATTTCACAAACCCTCAGCTGAAGACTTCATGGAATACTGACATTTTGGTCTGTGTTGATATTTAAGAAAAGGCCAGTTGAAATGCTAAGAGCAGAGCAATGACATTTGTAATATGTACAAAGTGCTGCATTAGAACAAAAGTGTTCTGTAAAGAACACTAGATGTAGAGTCACAGACTCAGGAGCTGGTCCCAGTCACTTACCAGACTCATCCTAAGGCATTTAAATTTTTTTTTTTTTTTTTTTAGTTGGAGTCTCACTCCATCACCCAGGTTGGAGCTCAGGCAATCCTTCGGTCTCAGCCTTCCAAGTAGCCAGAACTATAGGCGCGTGCTACCACGCTCACTAATTTTTTGATTTATGGAAGAGACGAGGTCTCGCCGTTGCCCAGGCTGGTCTTGAACCCACGGGCTCAGGCAATCCTCTCACCTCGGCCTGTTGGGATTACAGTTTTGAGCCACCATGTTGGGATTACAGGTTTGAGCCACCGTGCCTAGCAAGGCATTTAAATTTAAAAATTCTTTGATTCTAGAAGCTTTGAGATGTCTTTAGCTCTTCATTTAGACATGGCATTTACACGAATAGCTCAGTAAAACTAAAAGTATTCACTGATAAATATTTGCATAAATTTGTTGTCATATTTAGAATATTTCATATAAGTACTTTATACTTTTAAAATAGTTTCCACTGATTCTTACTAGGGTCTCAATTTAAAAAATGCATTCTCTTTATAGGACACTATGTCCATTTTCCAGTTAACTGTTAATGCGAAGAGTAATAAAGTACTTGTTAAACCTGCACACTAGCAACAAAAAAGAAATGGCTGTCCTAAACTGTCCAATGGAACAGCATACTTTTAAAGGAAAATACTCGCCCAGTTAAAAAATATTCTGTTAAGGTCGGGCACGGTGGTACACGCCTATAAAGCCCAGCACTCTGAGAGACCAAGGTGAGAGGATTGCCTGAGTTCATGGGTTCGAGACCAGCCTGGGCAACTTGGTGAGAACTCATTTCTACAATAAATCAAAAAATTAGTCAGGCATGGTGGCGCACACCTGTTGTTCCAGCTACTTGGAAGGCTAAGGTGGAAGGATAGCTTAAGCCCAGCAGGTCGAAGCTGTAGTGGCCGTGAGCAGCAAGCCACTGCACTCTAGCCTGGGCGACAGAGTGAGACTCCAATGCAAATAATAATAATAATAATAATACTGTAGATCAAGGTAGATGACTGACTGGACTTAATCACGTCTTTGTAAATTTTCAGTTAACCTTAAGTTTAACTCCATACTTTTGTTATATTAAGGATTTTGTAAAGATAAATTGATTTTTAAGATATTGGTTCTCTTTTTATCAGCTTACTGTTTTAATAATATGTTATAAAAGCACTAGCTTGAAACAGGTAAAACTGCCAGTATTCAATCTTTTTTTAAAACTTATAAAATGGGAATTTCATATAATGGTGCAACCATTGGTGTCCTGATAAATGTTTAGTTGGCTCCAAGGTGCTGAAGAGAGCCCTGATTTGTAGTGTTTGTTCATTTCTGTGGTGCTAATACCCCCATCATGGCTGATTTCAAGTTACCGACATGATGAATGTTACTGGACATGGTTCTCATGTGTTCATGCTAGTAGGTTCCAACGTAACACTGTGTTACGCTTAATCAAAATCAGTGATAACATTTCAACAACAAACTTCCAGTGAAAAATCAATGGCACTGCCTAGTTTCCCAACTATATATATGACATGAAATATAGTTTTAGGTTGCCCATTAAAATAAAATGTCTGGCTCTTCAAAGCCGCGTTCCTTGCCTTTTTGTGTTTATGGATGACTGGCACATGATATATTTATAAATAGCTCACATTTGAGAAGTTTTGAGGGGGGTCCATAAGCCTATGTAATGAGTTTTCCTGGCACTGCAGAAATATAATTTTCAATTAGCTTTCAGATTTCTGTGGCAGTTCTAATACCATAAGGCAATCATGAAGAGAGGGTCATGAGACCCAATAGCTCAAAACCTAAAGGCATTTCTAGGTAAAAGGTCAGTTTGAAAAACAAATATACAAGGTATTTTAATCTGTCATGGGATTAGAGTAAATAAAACACACACACAGTATTTCCCCTACGAAAAGTCTCCTTAGCAAGTCTAGTAGGAAAAAATAAGCTGTGATTTTCTTTGATGTTCCATCTTTCTTTTTTTTAGAGACAGGGTCTCACTCTATCACTCAGGTTGGAGTACAGTAGTGTGATTATAGCTCATTGTAATCTCAAACTCTTCCCGAGGAGCTGGGACTACAGAAACACATCACCACACCTGGCTAATTTTCTTTTCTTTTTATAGAAAGTCTTTCCCTATGTTGCCCAGCTGGTCTTGAACTTTTGCCTTAAGTGCACCTCTCTCCTCAGCCTCCCAAAGTGCTACCATGTCCAGTATATTTCTCAATCACAGGCATAAACCACTGTGCCTGACATATTTCTAAATCTGAAAACTAGTGTTGCAGAGCAGAAAGAATATGGGATTTGGAGGTGAAATGCTGTGTTATAATCCAAGCTCTGCCATTTATCAGATGTCTGACATTGGACACGTCATTTCACATCTCAAGACTTAACTTTCCTAACTTAAAACAGGGACAATAATACCTACATCTGTATGACACAAGGCTGCTTTAAGGATTGAAAGAGACACTATGTATTTAGTATAACACCCAAGACACAGTGCTTAAAATAGTTTTTGATTCTGAGTCTGAACCACAAGCGCAAGATGCAGAGTAGAATTACAATGAAGAAGTTGAAAACTATCTTGAGAGGGCAACAGTTGCAATGTTATCTTGATTTCAGGATTCTTTTACCTACTAGGAACACCCTCTCACAAAGGAATTGTGAAGGGCTATAGTATGAATGTTTGTATCCCTCTCAAATTCACATGTTGAAATTGAATCCTCAATATGGTAGTATTCAGAGGTGAGGACGGGGTCTTTCGGAGGTTATGAGGGCTCTGCCTTCATGAATGGTATTCATTCCCTTATAAAAGAGGCCTAAGGAAGCTTGTTTGCCCTTTCTGCCAAGTGGAAACACAGCAAGAAGATGCCATCTATGAAACAGAGAATGAACATGTACCAGCCATGAAATCTGCTGGTGCCTTATATTTCACTTCCCAGCTTCCAGAACTGTGAGGTATAAATTTCTATTGTTTATAAATTACGCAGTCTAGGGAATTTTTGCAATGGCAGTCCCAATGTATAAAACAGAAGTGAATCTTTTGGCCACAGTCTTATAGAGTGGCTTCCAGAATCCCAGTGGATTCATTTCCCACCTGAATCTGACAGCAGTTGCAGTATAAGCCCACTGAACCTAGAGTACAGAGCTTGATGTTTTTCTTCTCACTTCTATGTGAAAGCTTCTAAATACACAGTTTCAGTTAAACTTTTAAAGCTAACTGTAGTCATATGAACTAACTCAGTATATAAAACATCTAAAAACAAGAGCTTTTAAGTGAAATTATTTAAGAGTTCTAAGAGCTAAAAATGCAAGTATATGTCTAAAGTAACTGTAGTCATATTTCTAGTGATCTGTATAATATCACTTTAAAAATAATAATTTTCCAGGCTAGGCACAGTGGCTCATACCTGTAATCGCAGCACTTTGAGAAGCTGAGATGAGAGGATTGCCTGAGCCTAGAAGTTTGAGACCAGCCTGGGCAACATGGCAAGACCTCGTCTCTACAATAAATCAAAACAAAACAAAACAAAATAGCTGAGCATGGTGGCACATGCTTGTAGTCCCAGCTATTTTTGAAGGTTGAGGCAGAAGGATCACCTGAACCCAGCAGGTTGAGGCTGTGGTAGCCATGATTGGGCCAACACACTCCAGTCTGGGCAACACAATTTTCCAAAATTAATTTCTAGTGATTCTTTCTTCTAAAGATCTCAAATTCATCCCTCTCCATTTCCACTATCACCACTTTAACCTATATATTTTTCTTACCTAATGCCTGAATCATAAATGTCTTCTTTTACTTCTTACATTCACCAAACTTTACATGTATATGTCTCAAGGAATCAAAGTTTGTTAAGACAGGCTGGGCACGGTGGTTCATGCCTGTAATCCCAGCACGTTGGGAGGCTGAAGCAAGAGGACTGCTTGAGCCCAGGGGCTTGAGACCAGCCTGGGCAACTTGGTGAGACTTCATCTCTACATTAAATCAAAAACTTAGCAGGGCATGGTGACTCACGCCTGTAGTTCCGGCTACTTGGAAAGCTGAGGTGGAAGGATCACCTGAACAGAGCAGGTGGAGGTTGTGGTAGCTATGAGCGTGTCACTGTACTCCAGTCTGGGTGACAGAGTGAGACTCCAACTCGGGGGGGAAAAAAAAAAAAAGACAGAAGCCCCTGCTCCTCTTACTTTATTTCCTTTTCCTAAGGAGTAGGTGCTTAGTTTTTCATTTACTTGTATTTTCTAGTTTTTTAAGCCCCTGTATCTTTAAATACCAAGCTTATATTTGCTATTTCTTGATGTTTGTTTTAGTAGGATATGAGGACTGAGCCCTTTGCTCCTCCTCCATCCCAGTTCTACAAGCATATACTCTTTCTCTCAGATATTTACCCATCCCACACTGTTATGCTATAATAATGGGCAGATAAATGTTTAATGTTTAAATAATTCTGAACTAAGCCATGTAGTAAACTATGATTAATTTTCCTTGCCTTGAAAATCTTTTTGTTTTCCCTGCAGTTACTTTTTTCTTTCTTTTCCCCTTTTCTATTTTTTGGGGAGGATTGCTTTCCGTGAACTTCTCACTCATAAAACTTCAAACATTCCATCAAAGTCTAAACCTTCTGTGAATATATTCAGACACATCAAGTATTCATAAACAGGAGAATGATAGAAAAGTCTCTCTAGATTCTTCTGATACATTCTAAACAGGACTGGTTACCCTCTTCCTCTTGGGATATAGCTGTCATCTTAGAATCTCCCTTCACCTAGACTCCATTCGTCTCTCTCCTGAGTAGGATTCCTAGTTTCCTCTCTCTCACATCTTCCTTTTCCTTGGTTTACTCCCTTGATTAGCTGAGGCACATCCTCTAGTGGCTTTCCGAGAAAGGGCAGAAAGGAGAAAACAAAGGCCCTGAGGTAGGAACATCCTTAGTATATTTGAGGAACTGTTAGAAGGCCAGTACACCTAGAAAGAGTAAGAAAGCGAGTTTTAAGAATTAAGAGCTAAGTGGATTAAAGAGCCCGATCATGAAGGGCCTCGTAGGCCATGGAGGATTTTGGCTTTTGCTCTGAATGAGAAGGGAAGCCACGAGAGGGCTTTTTCACATGTGGTGACATGATCTGACTTATGATTTATCTGGACCAAAGTGACTGCCACATAGAAGGAAAAAAACTAAATGGAAGCAGGTAAAAGCAGGGAGGTTTCCACAGTGAGGAAATTACTGTAAGAATCCTGGTGAGATTTGATGGTATCTTGTACCGAGATGGTAGCAAATAAAGGAGGTAAGAAAATGTCAGCTTCTGGGATATTCTGAAGTAGATCTGTAGGACTTGCTGATGGATTGAATTTGGATGTAGTGACAAGTAAAGAATGACTTCAAAGTATTTAGCCTCAGCAACTGGAGGGATGGAGTTGGCATAAAATATAGGGTAAAGACCAAAAAAGCAGTAGACTTGGGAGAAAAATGAGTTTGATTTTGGACATCTTAAGTTTGAAATGCCCATTAGACATCTCAGATGATTAAGTCTGGAGTTCAGAAAAGAAATAGGACAGACTCTATAGGACTGGATGAAATCATCCAAGAAAGTGAATGTAGAATGAGAAGAGATTCAAGAACTGAACCCTGAAGCACTTCAATGTTTAAAAACTAGTAGAATATGGGAATGCAACAAAGGAGCCTAAGAAAGCATGGTCCATGACTTAAGAGATAAAAAGCCAAGAATGAGAGGTTCCAAAATGCAAATAAAGAAAATGCTTCCACATACAGCATGTGATTGACTTGGCAAAGCTTCTAATAGAGCCAGTAAGATGAAAACTGAGGACTGATCCCTGAATTCAACAAAATGGAGGTGACTGGTAATCTTTACTGCAACTTAGGTAGAGTAGTGGGGGATAAAAGTTAGATTGGAGTAAGTTTGAGAGAGAACTGGGTATGGAATGTTACCTAAGTAGAAGTCTTGCCCAGAATGTTTTAACCTGAATAAAATAATGAAAAAATTATATAAATCCTAATTATGGGACATTCTACACAAATTCTTAAGCGCTTCATAAATTCAATGTTATGAAAGTTTTTTAAAAAAGGCAGGAACCATTCTGATTCATAGGAGACTAAAGAATCTTGACAATAAAATACAATGCACAATCCTTCACTGGATCCTGGATTAGAGGGAAATAGTAATACTGAACATCTGTGGAAAAACTCAGGTGAAATTTGAAAATGGGTTGTATATTAAAGTATCTTTGTTTTGGGGAAATTTATGTGCAAGTATATAGGGGTGAAGTGACATAATGCATACCGATGCTTTAAAATGTTTTAGTAGAAAGAACATGTGTGTGTGTGTGTGTGTGTGTGTGTGTGTGTGTGTATGTATGCACCAGAGACACAGAGACAGACAGACAGACACACACACACACACAAACACACACGGGGAGAGAGAGAGAACAGAAATTTGACAACATGTCAACAATAGGCAAATGTAGGTGAAAGGCACAATGTGATGTGTTGGGAATTACTGAGTGAATAAAATATACCTCCATTCCTCCCTGACTTGTGTGTTCCTTGAGAGGTGACAGGATATTTTGTATTTTGGGGCTGAGAAGACAGCCATGGGCTACTTCTGTAGTTCTGATGACTCTGCTTTCTGAAGGCATCAGCATCTCTTTGCTGATTCCCAGCCTTAAATTCCAACAAGCAATCTTTGAATTAGTGACAGTGAGAATTGAGTTAAAGTGCTTAACATTTATTTGGCTTTTACTGTGTGCCAAATACTATGTTAAGTATTTTTACATGCATTATCTCATTTAATCCTCTACAACTTTACAACAGAAGAAACAGAAAGCCACTTAGCTTGTCAGTGGCAGAGCCAAAGCACATACTTTTCAGTCACCACTATATTCTCTAAGCTCCTTTCCCAGGAGAGAAAAAGTTGCTATGTAATGAAGGCTGAGAGATTAGAAAGCTGTCTCAAACCGGGCTCAGTGGCTCAGCCTGTAATCTCACGCTTTGGGAGGCTGAGGTGAGTGGACTGCCTGAGCCTGCAGGCTTGAGATCCGCCTGGGCAACTTGGCGAGACCTCATCTCTACAATAAATCAAAAATCAGCCGGGCGTGGTAGCACGTGCCTGTAGTTCCAGCTACTTGGAAGGCTGAGGTGGAAGGATCGCCAGAGCCCAGCAGGTGGAGGCTGCAGTGGCCAGGAGCGGCCACTGCACTCCAGTCTGGGTGACAGAGTGAGACTCCAATTAAAAAAAAAAAAAAGTTGTCTCAACACTTGTAAATCAGTAACATTTCAGAGGTCAAAAAGGAGTTCTTGTAGTTCATAAAGGAGGTAATACAAATTTGTAAATATATACATTTTTCTGTGTTGGGACAAAAGCTATTTTACTTTTTAAAAATTAAAAATTACTTCTCATTGCACAAGTTAAAATGAAACATATGCAAATGAAATAAAAAGCAGAACTTTCTCTATTCTCATGTACCCCACCCAACTATTTTTATTTTAAGTGAGAATAAAACGCAGCTCATAAATATTTTCATTTTTTCTGAATTAGCTATTATGTAAAAAAAATCTTCCTCATTACTTTCCTAAAGGTCTCCCAGTCTCAGCTCTCCATCTTCTAATTTACCTTCCTAATCACTGGAAGAGTTCTTTTTTATAATCCAAATTTAATTCTGGCACTCTCATAATTTAAAAAATCCCAGCCTCTAAAAGTAAGGCCTTAATTTCATCAGCTATCCAGTCTTACCTCCTGTTTCTATTTCAATCTTAATCTCCAACCATATCCCAGCCATGCCTTCCACAGACAGATCTCTCTTCCTGTACCAGCTCACTTTATTATCTAATGAGCATCTTATAAATCAATCTGTAAAACCCAGATTGAGAGTCACCTTCTTTTCTCTAATGCCTTTAAGGCAGAGTTAATCACCTATTCTGTGCTGAACCTTAAACATATATCTACTCTAGTAGTCGATACAGTAATCTACAATTATTTATCTACACAACTGTTTCTCCTATTCCACAGTGGCTCTCTTAAGGACATACCCTGGCAAGTAACCTTTGCTTCCCCAGTGTCCAGCATAGTCTATGGCACCTACTTGGCGCTTACTAAACTCTTGCTATACTTACTCTTACTCAGCTTAATCACTGAATAAAACGAGTTAGCCAATGTATAAAATGAGTTAGCCAATGTTGAAAGTATCTAAATATCCAAGTATGTGACCACCAGTCAGTAATATGTCAAGTATCCCACCAGTCACCAGTCCAGGGCCACTTTCCCCTAGGCTCATCAATGATGGGTGTAACAGAATCAAGTACAGAAAACTGAATTTTAGATTATTCCAAATTCCAAGGATTTACCATAGTACCTGATGAAGGCAAAGGGGAAGTGCTCTTGAATCCAACTGTTCAACTTCACCTCTTATAAGTGAAAACAAAGATTGCAGAACTAGCTTCGGAGCTTCTAGTTGCTCATTAGCATTTACTTCAGCGGCCTCTTCACCACCGACAGCATGTGAGACCACACTTAGTATTTTTTCTTGCATTGAAGGTGCAGTATCTTCTGAAGAAAGTCCTTTAAGAAGTAAAAATAAATAAATAAATACAGTTTTAAAATGCCTATGTTAGGATAAATTCCAATCATGGTGTGACACCATAAAACTATTGTGCCTGTTAACCATAAATCTCACTATATGAAAAAGAAACAAAAATCCAGAAGCCACAAGTTATTGTCCTCAGTAAGATTGTGCTGACATCTGACTGCTTTTAATAGTATACATGTAAATCTTTTTTTTTTGCAGATTATAATTAAGAGTATTAATAAGGCCAGGCATGGTGGCTCACATCTGTAATTCTACCACTTTGGGAGGCAAAGACAGGAGGGCTGCTTGAGCCCAGGAGTTCAAGCCCAGCCTGGACAACACAGCAAGACTCCATCTCTACAAAAAAATAAAAAATTAGCCAGGTGTGGTGGTGCACGCCTATAGTCCCAACTACTTGGAAGGGTGAGGTGGAAGGATCACATGAGCCCAGGAGGTTGAGATTGTGATGAGTTGTGATAGTCACACTGCACTGCAGCTTGGGCAACAAAGTGTGACCCCTGACTGAGGGAAAAAAAAGTATTCATAAAGAGATATAAAGAAAAGTATAAAGGTTAAAACCTGGCCAAAAGCTTAATTCCCCCAAAGGAACACTGGAGTACAGATACTCTGAAGTACTGGATTATGGAAAATGAAACAAAATTGAACAGGAAGGCATACAAAACAGCTAAAGAAGTCTAGCCTTTACTCCCTAATCTGATAATATTATAACTACTTCTAGATCCCAGGAGTGTCAGGAATTCAGATGCCAGAGCTAATGAAGAGTGAAATGGTTTTCCTAATAAAAAGAAGTAAACTTCTCAAAAATTATTAATAAATAAATGCTTGATCCACAGCTCCTGAAATGCATCAATTAAAAAAAATTTAATTATCATAAATTATGACTTTACTTCTCACTGGAATCTCGGTATTTGTTCCAATTTTCAGGTTCAAATGAAATAGGCTACCTGCCTGTGTGTTACCTTCAGCAGCCTGCCTCAGAGGATCTTGTTCAGTAATAGTGTATATGCAACACTAAATTGAGGCTGCCCTCCCTCTAGAGTATGCCCACATCTGCTTTCTACTGCCCTCTGTTTCAAATCATTTGATTTGAACATGAAACTGACTACTCTGACCAAACTGATCCACTCTTCTAAAATACTCTGTGCTTTTCTGAGCAATTATAGATTCTAACAGCTGGAATATTTTCCTCTCATCTACACCTGTTCATGTTCTACTTTAACAAAATCCATGTCCTTCCCTATGAGTCTGAAGTCACCTTACTTTCCTCTGAAACTTGTATATAGTCTTATATTATGCCGAATTGCCTTATAATAATTGGTATAAGGTCTCATCTTTACTTATTCATAACTCCTGCAGCACAGAGATTAATTTGTGTACTACAGTACTCCAATTATATACAGTCTGGTGTCTTATGCACAAAAATTCTAAGTGTTGCAAATTTTTTCTTTTTTTAAGTTGGCGTTTCACTCTGTTGCCCAGGCTGGAGTGCAGTGGCATGCTCACGGCCACTGCAGTCTCGACCTACTGGGCTCAGGCAAACCTTCCACTTCAGCCTTCTAAATAACTGAAACAACAGGTATAGGAGCAAGAGACTTTAGTTCTGCTATTATTTTTCCAAGTGACATTGGATTAGACATTTTACTCTCTGAACTAGTTTCCTTACCTAAAATGAAGGGATTGGCTAGATGAGTTCTAAGATCCCTCCTAGTTCTCTGAACATCTAAAACATTCAAAATCTCCAGAGATTTTGTTATTTAAGAAAAGTAAACCATCACTGTGAAGAAGCTTGAACAATTAGTTAAGATAATTAAAAGTAAGGTCATCTGCCTAATATGAGTATCTTCTAGTTCTTTTCACATTATATTTTTTAAACCACTGTTCCTCCTTTGCCTAGACTGTAGATTGCATAAACAGTAGCATATTAGGTTTCCAGGCAAAAAAATCAAACTGAATTCCATGCAGGAAGAGTTCTACAACATTACATACCAAAGAGTAGAATTCTGTTTCCAGCTCTGCCAAGCTTTTAGGAATAGAATCATATCACAGCTTAAATAATCATATAAAGTATTATACATGTTATTAAATGACAAGGACATACTTTACCTTAGACACATATAAAATAGGAAAACAAATTTAGCCATATTCTAGCAACATGGAAGTTTAAACCACTTAAAATATGGCCTTATTAGTTTTACAGTGTTAATGGAGCAAATAACTCATATTAGAAAACTATCTGTTGCCAAAGAGTTGGAAGAAGAATGACATGGAAATCAGGGCAACCCTAAGTTCCCAGCCTGCTTGCACTAATTACTAGCTGTACTTTGGCAAGTTACTTAATTTCTTTGATCCCCTCTATTTCCCCCCGGTAACAGGGGGTCTATAACATCTACCTCATAAGATTATTGTGAAGATAAATGAGACAGTGCAGACAAGAAGCAGGTGTGGACCTACCATTGGCCTGAAAAAATGGTTTTACTGTTATTTGAATAAAAAGGATCAAATAATTGGTAAGACAGTTGTCAGGCAGTCTAATTTCTTTTTTAACTTAAAGAAAAACATTCATAGGAAAGGGTGAATATAGCTAATAAAGCTTATATTCCTCATGTCATGGTGAGTAACAGAAATTAATAGAAATTATGTTGAGCATTAAATTGCTTAGTTTATTATTCACCAATATTGTTGGTTTAAATATGTATTTTAAAATATACTGTATCATATAATATGTTACCTTTTAAGATTGCCTTCTTTCACTTAGTAATATGCATTCAAGTTTCCTCCATGTCTTTTAATTGCTTGATAGCTCATTTCTTTTTAGCACTGAATAATATGCCATGAAAGGCAATAATAAAATAAATACTAGCATAATCATGAGTACTTAGACTAACACGTTGCAAACTGACACCTTTATAATATACTAAAAGATTTTAAGATATTAACAAAGCAGTCACGATACATTATGGAAATTTCAGTATTTTTCCATGTGAATTTCAAAATAATTTTGTGTTATTACTTTCAATGTCCCATGAGTCTTACAAAAGTTTGGCTTGAAAAAAGTAAGTCTAATTATACCTCATAATTTCGTACTGTAATTCCTTCTAGCCAAGATATATTTACAGTTAAGAAGAAAAACCAGATCAAAACATATGCTGCCACATGTAATTTACCCATTCACTACAAAATCCCACTCAATATAAAGGAAGCTTTCTGCTTGCCACTTATGAATCCATACAGCTAAATAAGAACAAAAAATTCTATTTACCTTCATCTGTGAAAACCAAACGAGCTACAGTTAAAACTACCTCTGGCTGGGTACAGTGGCACAAGCTTGTAATCCCAGCACTTTGGGAGGCCAAGATGAGAGGACTGCCTGAGCCCAGGGGTTCAAGACCAGCCCGGGCAACTTGGTGAGACCTTGTCTCTACAATATATCAAAAAGTTAGCTGAGTGTGGTAGCGCCCGCCTGTAGTTCTGGCTACTTAGAAGGCTGAGGTGGAAGGACCGCCTGAGCCCAGTAAGTCGACACTGGAGTGGCCATGAGCTATTACTACACTCCAGCCTGGGCGACAGAGTGATGCAAAACAAACAAACAAAAAACTATCCCCATTAAGCAACTTGGTGATGATTTTTGTAAGTATACAGAGATGGTAACAGGCAAATTCATACGACCTAATTTAACTTACAACCTGTCAACTTCATCAAGTTCTAAATGGAGACCACAGATTACATGTACTTGTTGAGGTTTTTGTTTTGCTTTTTTCTTATTTTTTTTTAAGTCTCACTATGTTGCCCAGGCTGGATTTGAACTCTTAGACTCAAGAGATTCTCCTGCCTCAGCATCTCAAGTAGCTGTAAATATAATTTATTTAAAAAAAATATTTGTAATAATCTTGGGTCAGAGATTGGAAGAACTGCCTTAATAGAGAAATTTTATTCAATTTATCATTCCAGCTGAATTCTGTTTCAGTTCTAACATTCATCTGTTACATTCATCTTTGAATCTCTCTGACAGTGGTCAAAAGGCATTCTGTGGAACAATATAATAGTATCCTCTAATGACCTAGGTACTAGGAATGTACCCTGACATTCAGGTCCCCTTTAATAATCTAGCATTGATCTGCCATCTGTGAATATACTAAGGGATATAACCATTTCTCTGCATAATAGGGAGAATGATGTGACCGGATGATTTAAAGGCAGAGTTTCACAGCTAATACTTTAGTAAGTAATCAAGAGAATAAAAAATTATCACAGTCAAAATGAGGATTAAAAAGATGTTACATAGGAGAGACATCAAGCCCTAGGTAAGGACAGTGGCAATGATTATATTTATGATGATGCAGGTTAAGCATTCATGATCTGAGAATCTGAACTGAAATGCTCCAAAATCCACAATTTTTGAGCGCTGCCATGATGCCGCAAGGAAAAAATTTATACCTGACCTCATTTGACAGGTAACAGTAAAAATGCAGTCAAAACTTGGCTTCATGCACAAAATTGTTTAAAATGTTATATAAAATTACCTTCAGGCTATGTGTATATGGTCTACACAAAGTATAAATACATTTTGTATTTAGACTTAGGTCCCATCCCCATGACATCTCATTATATAAGCAAATATTCCAAAATAAAAAAAAAAAACTGAAATGTGAAACACTTCTACTCCTAAGCATTTCAGATAATGGATACTCAACCTGTAGTTATACTGATGACATAAACTAAGCAGATGGGCTTCTTTGAGGATGGGGAAAAGGAAAATCACAGGCCTAACACAGATCAAATACTTAGAATGTAAGTATATTATCTCATATATAGGTTTTAGGGGGAAAAAAATCTGCCTTTGTTCATGCTATTCCCCCTGCCTACAATGTCAGTTTTAAAAGAGCAGGTATAAGATTCACCACTGTGCCCTCAGTACTTAGCACAGAACCTGACAGAGCAGGTGCTCAAAAACATCTTGGGGATAAAATT